CCTCGGGCAGGTCCCGGTCCCTGCCGCCCGCCGCCCCCGCGGCCTTGGCCCGCCTCCAGGGGAACCTCGATTTTCCAAATTCGGGAAGGCTGGCTGCTGATAAGGACGGGAGCGCATGGTGAACGAGCTTAACAATGCCCGGAAAGAAATAGCCGGGCCGAGAAAGAACTAATAATAGCCGCCGGCTCGAGCTCTGCCCGCCGGCTCCGCGCTCTGAGGAACAATAATGACGACAACAACCACAATAGCCACCATTTATTGCGCGCGCGCTCTGTGCCAGGCACGGTGCTGAGCGCTTTGCAGGCGACAACCCTCGGAGGTAAGTACCGTTATTACCCCTACTTCGCAGGACTCCGGGGCCGAGAGGTTAGGTCACTCGCCCCAGGCGCTCAGCTAGCTGACGTCCGTGCCAGAATTCCAACCCAGGTAATCCTCATGGCAACCCATTAAGGTCGGGATCGTTCTTCCCATCTTAAAGATGAGGAAACTAAGGCACATGGAAATGTAAGTACCTTGCCCAAGGTCACCTAGCCGGAAAATGGACGAGGCAGAAAGCGAACCCAGGGCTCCTCTCTGTCCGCAGAACCCGCGGTCTTGGCCACAGACGATGCCACATCCAAACCACCTCCGACAGCCCACCGGGCTCTGGCCCCAGGTCCCAAGAGGCGCTGCCCCTGCAGGGTGTGAGTGGGTTCCTGCGGCCTCCGATCCCCTGGTGAATCGGGACGTTCCGAGCATCGTCCGTGCTCAGCCGACAGGCGTAGGATAGGACGCGTCTCCGGGAATCCGGTCCCGGACTGGGCCGCGCGGTCGGGTGCAGGGATGGGGCGGGGGCGAGGGCGGGGGCGGCGGGAGGGATCCGGATCCCGCGTGCAGAGCGCCGGGGTTCTGCCCCCATGCGGCCGGCAGAGGGCGCTGCCGCACGCGCCTCGAGTCCGGGTCACCAACGCAGCGCAGGCAGACCTCCGCCTCCAGTGCCCTCCAGGGGCCGGGACGCCGATCCCCGGAGCGGAAAGCTTTCCTCCCTGGGGCCCGACACCCTCCTGTCCCCTCACCTAGGTCCCGGACCTGATTTGTCTGACTGCTGTCCCCCATCTTCCGTCCTCTTGCCACCCCACCATCTGCCTTGCAGGTGTCCCCAGTCCCTGCACGGCAGGTTCGGTCCCTCCTGAGGACACCGATCTCATCCCGTGAAAAGAACCAGGTGTCTGCAAATCCGAGTCGCCGTGTCTCCCTTTTCCAGAGGGCCCTTCGGGGATTTAAAATGGGGATCCACCATCCATTTGGAATAGCGAACTTTCATCCCTTCTCTAAAATAAGAGAAGGGCGGAGGGGATTGGCTGCGGAAGCAGCAGATGAAAGGATCTATTTTCATAATAGCTACCGCCTATTGCTGGCTTTTTTGCTTGGAGCCCTTTATATGTCTTGACTGACGGGTCTGCTCAGGGCTGCAGAGGCGTGGATCATTATTCCCACTTCGTGGATGGGGTCGGGAAGCTGGTAAGTGGCCAAGCTGGGGACCCACGCGGTTCCCAGCTCCCGGAACATACATACATGCTGAGCCCACGGATCAGAAGAGGTCCGATACAGCCCCCGGGCTACTGAAGTGCTTCAAAGTCTGCACCGCATTAATTAGGGGCTTGACTGGCTTTCTAAGTTCACTCTGGGACTCAAATATAAAAAAAAGAAAAGAAAGAAAGAGAGAAAAGAAAAGGAAGGAAAAAAAAGAAAAGAAAAACAAAACCTAACGGCACACCGGGAATGAGCAGGATTTAGCTTGGAAGAGTATTCGTCCGGAGAGGCCCACACACTTTCTATGTCTGGGCTGTAAGGAAATAAAGGTGGTTCTAGGAAAATCTGAAAAATATGGGAGGGAAAAAAAAAAAAAAAACGCCTTTGTGGTTTTTACTTTCACCAAGACTCATTTTGCTATTTGTGTTTTATTTTAAAATTAATGTGGCTCTCTCCACCCTTTCAACTGGCACAGAAATAGCAAAAACAGAAGGGGAGCCAGTTACAGACTTCGAATGTGGTGGCTTCCCGGGAGGGAGGGCCACGACCGGAAGTGGGAATGAGGACGCAGTGAGGTGCCTGAAACACTTCAGGGCACACTCCCCGCGGGGGACTGTGGACCCCGAGTCCCTAGAACAGGCGTTGTCTGGCTCTGGGCTGTGTGCAGTGTCTAGAATCCAGGAGTGCCCGGTGGATGTGCAAATGCAGTCACACTTGGAGGGTGTGTGCAGCCTCTCAGTCTGGGCCTTCACTGTGTCCCACATTTGCAAGTGTGGTGAGGGTGGGGGTGGGTCCTGTCCTCTAAATCAGTCAAGGCAAAGCAACCACTCCAGGTGGCAATGGCCAAGGCTTGGCTAAGCAGATTGACTACACAGCTCTGGAGTCCCCACCTGGTGGCTTTTCCAACCAGAAACCAGGGCAGAAAGGACCGCATGAGATTTGTCACTTAATAGTTCTGGCTCGATTCCTCTGTCTTTATTGTTTTTACTTTGTTTTTGAGGCAGCGTCCGGCTATATAGTTCAGGTTGGCCTTGAACTCACTATGCAGCCCAGGCTGGCCTCAGACTTGCGGTGACCCTCCTGCTTCAGCCTCCCTGAGTGCTGGGATGACAGGCGTGCATCACCACACCCAGCTATGCTATGTCTTTAAACCAGAAGAATTCCCCTCTCCACTCAACACAAGGGCAATAGGGCCATCCCAGGCTATCCTGCAAAAATTCTTGGACTTCTTTGTCCCCCCTGGCACCCTCTCTCATTCCATCAGCAAATTCACTCCACAAATATGTATTGCGAGCACACTGCATAGGTAGGTGCTTTGGGCCAGCAGAGACCCTGAGTTTATGCTGTCGCCTCCTCCCTTTCCACCCAGCGCCTGACTTCATGGCTCCAACTTTAATGCCTGGCCCTATGCAGCTGGGAACACCTGCTCAGACACATCTGGCATCGGAACCACTCCAGGCCCCAGGCCCCCCACCTTGGTGATACCCATTTCCCAAAGAGGACTCGGACCCTGGGGATGGGATTCACCTTGGTTCCAGCTCCAGCACTTGCCAACATCCCCCGTCCCTTTCTACTCATGAGAGCGCTGCTAATGATGATGGAATACGTAAGGCCATATTTATGAAGTATCCATTCCAGTGAAAATCCCACAGTGACATGATACTGTTCACAGGAAAATACTGGCTTAAACAATCAACAGTGACGGTCTGGATAATGCTTACCAGTCTTTTGGGTCATTTTTTTTTAACTGAATCTTGGGATTGAGGGATGCAGAATAACAAGGGAAAGGAAGAATACTGGGCCTGTTTTAGCTCAGCAGATTACACAGGATCTTCACCATCAACACCCTAAAAAAATAGAATGCTTAAGATAAATTGCCAGTTTTTGTCTTTCTGGAAAATCCATTGATACTGAGTGATTTTGGTCTTGACCCACTCTAAAGAAAAAAGAGAGAGGGAGAAAGTTGAATGGCAGGATTCAGATTTTTTTCCCCCTGAAAATCCCTTTAGAAAGTAGATTACAGCCAGGCATGGTGGTGCATGCTGTGATCCCAGCACTTGGGAGGCTGAGGCAGGAGGATCCTCAAGAGTTCAAGGCCAGCCTGGGCTACACAGACCCTGTATTCCCTACCCCAGTACTGGGGATGGAACCTAGGGCTTTGCTACACCCTCAGCTCCCTTCTTTATTTCTTGATACAAGGCCTCCTGAAGTGGCTAAATTGCCCAAGCTGGGCTCCAATGTGGGATCCTCCTGCCTCAGCCTCTCAGAGTGCTGGGATTACAAACCTACACCACCATGCCAGGCTTCCTGTATGGTTCTTGAACATCCCACTCGAAGACTGTCTTGTCTGTAGTAGACAGAGCACTCTTATCTCTCCCTTTGAGGAAAGTAGTGCCCAGAGACAGAAAGGGTGAGGGAGAGTAGACAGCGGCCTGGCTGCTGAGCCATTAGAATCTAGGGAATGCGTTCCATGTGTGTCGCCTGTGCAGGAGTCTGTGGCTCTGAATTCCCTGGCCCACATCCCAAATCCCTCTCCCATGGGGGCCTGAGATGCGCCACATGCATGACCTGCTGGGAAGGGTGTGTCCACCCACCCAGAATTCGGGGCGGCCAGCGGGGCTCCTAGCTCAGGCTCCGCGAGCCCAGCTGCTGGGGTAGAGACTTGGAAGCCACGGAACCTTCCTGCTGGGAGCACGCCAAGCCCTCTGGGGAACCGGCTTCGGTGCTTGTCTGGGGAAATTAGTTTTGCACTTTCACAGAGTGAGAAATTCCTCAGGGGCATTCTAGTACTCAGGAAGAGAAATCAAACCCAGCTCATTCCTTCAGGGTCTTTGTCATGAATAAAGCGGACCAAAGCCGGTTCAGTGGGCCCAGCCCAGGGCCCGGCGTGGGGGGGGGGCACCTGTGGCAAGGTCCCCCCTCTCCCCCCCCCCCCCCCCCCCCCCGCCAGAGCAGGCGCAAACTTGAGATTGCAGGAGATCGTGTTACTGGTTTGTAAACACCGTGAGTGGCAGCCAGCTCTCCCAAGTGACCACAGAGGAGCTCAAACCCTTCCTATCTTTCTAGAAACCCTCACGGCCCCGCCGGCTGCTTGCTGTCTGATGCAACAGTTTGCAACGCGGTTCTGGGAGTGGAGCCCTGCCGTGGGGCGCCCGGGGCCTGGCCGACGCGCATGCGCGGGCTGCGGCCCTGCCTCGCGGGCGGGGGAAGCTTTTCTCCAGATGTGCTGGGGGCAGGGCGCCGGGGGCGGGGCCGGGAGGGCGGGGAGACCTTTGGCGGCTCTCGCCAGAGATCTGAGCTTAATTAAACTTCTCCCGCGGCATTGGCTGACTTATTGACCCAGTGATCCAAAAAAAAAAAAAAAAAAATCTGAGAGGCCCGAATCGCCGGGAGAGCAAAATCGAGGGCTTGGGTTTTGGTTTCCAGAGCTGGGCCTTTGGATTCAGCCTCCCTTTCCGAGCCTCCCAATCTCGGTCCTGTCGAGGTTCCAAAGCGCAGTCAGGGCCCTCCTGCCCTGGAACGTTTTATTTGCAGGCGGGAACAAGCAATCACAGAATGTTGGGGAGGGGTTTTGTGTTTGTTTTTGTTTTTGTTTTTGTTTTCAAAAGTTTCAGCTATTTAGGTATTGCCTTCATGATTTTTCTCTTGTATCCGCATTACACCTATGTTGGACACTTTAATTGAATTTTATTTGATTAACTTTTTCTCTAAATTAACTTTACATTGATTCCCTTTTTAATGTATCTTTGCCCCGAGCAATAGCATTAGCAAAACCATGGCCTGAAAATAAATTCAGAACAGTTCAAATAAAAAATGTGTATATGCTAGCTAAAATTGTCTTCATGCCTACCGCATTTGGAGAGAAACTCGAGGTAATAATAGTCAAAGTATCGCGTGGCTGTCAATGTTCCAGATACTCTTTTTTTTTTTTTCATTACTGGGGAATGAACCAAGAGTTTCACACTAAGCTACATTCCCCGACTCCATCCCCTTTTAAATATTGAAACAGGGCCTCCCTAATTTCCCTAGGTGGGCCTCGAACTGTCCTCCCTCCTGCCTCAGCCTTCTTGTTGGAATTATAGATGTGCGCCACCATTTCTGGACCCAAGTACTGTTTGGGACATCATATACATTCTTAGCTCTTCAGGACACTTTAGGAGGTGGGAGTTGCTCACATTTTAAAGAGAAGAAAAATTTAAAAACAGAGAGGTTAAGCCACCTGCCTAAAATCACAGAGCCAAGAGGCAAAGTCCACTAGCTCTACTCCTACGCTGCCACCCTGTGCTAGGAGGACCCAGTGACAGGATTCTCCAAATCCTACCTTTCTTTCAAGGCCGATCCCTGGATACAGGTCTCCTGGCAACCAGGAAGCATGAGGGTCCTGCCATAGAGTACGTGAGAATTACATCAGCCAGGGTCCCCACACCAGGTGTGCCAGTACTAACTGAATGACTCTAATCTCTCTCTCTGTGGAACGGACACAATAATAGTTTTCTGGCCCACTCAGTACTTTTACCCCTGTCTACAAGGCTCTTCCTCAGGGGCTCTTCTTTCCTTGTGAGGCTGGGTGGCTTTGGCCCCTTTCTCCAGCATGTTCTGCTGGCTTTTGGTCCTTACCTGGCATGTGTCCTTAATGCCACTCACCTGTCATGACCTGCTCCCCACTAGCCCAGAAGCCCCTTGAACTAAGATTGAGTTGAACCAGCCAGCAAGATGAGGCAGACCCAAAGTCCCCTCCCCAGCTCCAGAAGGATGGGGGCACTGCCTACATGGCAGGGGGACCCTCTGACCTCCCTGGGGCTGACTCCACAGCTAAGCTTCTAACTAAGACATGCAGGGCCGGGGATATAGCTCAGTGGCATAAGCGTCTACCTGGCAAGCACAAGGTCCTGAGTTTGATTCCTGAAACCCCCCCCAAAAAAATAAATAAATAACACATGCAACTCTTTCCCCAAATTTCACATATTCAGCCTTTCTTTTTCGATTTGTCTGCCTCCTCTGGAGCCCCAAGGGTGTTTTCAAATAAGTTTCTCCTAACCTCTAAATTTTTTTTTTTTTTCTTTTTTAGGTACCGGGAATCAAACTCAGGACCTTGCGCTTGCCAGGCAGGCGTTTATGCCGCTGAGCTATATCCCCAGCAAATTTCAGATTAGGTTTTTTTTTGTTTGGTTGGG